TGCACTTCAGCCAAAACTGAAATGCTGTCCCTCCACAACCTGGACAAAGAGTCCATTAGGGATGGCAAAACAGCAGAGGCACTGGGGGGGCACTCAGTCAAGGCAGCTGCCCAGGTCACACCAGGGTCTGAGCACTGCTCAGCCCCAGCTCTCAGGTTTAAAAAACCACAGGGCCGCTTCTTGAAAACGCCCCCATTCATAAATTTGCAGATGCTTCCCCTTCACAGAGCAGGCAGAAATACAAGGAGCTGAGCCTGAACTGAGGCCAGCTCTGGAGCGTGGGAAGGCAGCTGCCTAAGGAGACACCAAGGCTCTCTGCCTCAGCCAGCAGTCCCTCACAAGAGGAGAGAGCTCCCCAGCTGGTGTCCCCACGGGCTTACCTTGCCAATAACGAAGATGTTGGAGAGCCTGGTGGCAAAGCTGTTGCCGTTGGCGTCTTTCACATGGACGACGTCGAACGACCCGGGGTGTCTCTCCCGGTTGGTGATCACCCCGATACGGCCCAAGTTGGCACCACCAGTCACCATGCACAGGTTACCTGGGGGAGGGAATACAAGTGTGACAAGAGCTAGCACCAGATGCTGTGGTGAAGCCCTCGCCACTTGGGCTCTCGGCCCATACCAAACATTCCCCACCACCTTCTCAGTTCTGCCAGCACCAAGGAGACATTCCCTTCCCACCCATGCTGGCACTGCCCACAGCCCTGTGACTGAAACCGTCTCCCACCACAAAGAGACAGGACTCTCCCTACGGCTGCCAGGCACAGCCCTACAAGAGCCAGGCTCAAGCATCTCTCCACCAGCTGGCTGCTTCTACCCTCAGAACCACCCTGTGTCCCTACAATGCTTCCCACTGCCAGCACACAGGAGGAATCCCTGCTCCAGCTCCAGGTGGAGATACCCTTTGGAAACAACCCCTTTCCCAAAGCTGACACCATTGCCTCTGTACTTTAGAGCAGATATGCCTGGCTTGTGTTAACCTCCACACTGCTCTCCGTACTGGGGAAGGGTACAGCGCTTTACATGGGATGCAAGACCTACCTGTGTCAAACTTGATGAAGTCTGTGATCTTGCCCGTCTCCAGGTCAATCTGGACCGTGTCATTCACCTTGATGAGGGGGTCAGGATAGCGGATAGTGCGGGCATCGTGGGTGACCAGGTGAGGGATTCCTTTGGTGCCCACGAAGATCTTCCTCACCTTGCACAGCTTGTACTGCAAACAAAACCCAGCACTGCTCAGCTGAGGCAGCTCAGCAGCCCATGGACCAGGGACTCTTGACCCCCAGAGAGCCACCAGACACAGCACAACACCCAGACACTGCTGGGCTCACACCATGAGCACAGGCAGCACCTTGCCCAGCTCCCTGCCCAAGTAACACCTCTCCAAGAGCTGCTACTGCACCTCTGCTACAGCCCCACCAGAAAACACCTCAGCTATGGGAGCAGCTGCCCACCTTGGGCTTCAGCCTCTGCACAAACTCTGGCTGCACTTCCCTGGGAAAGCCTTCACCAGGGTAGTTCCCTCATTTTTCCCTGAAGCCCACGAGCATACAGCAGAGGCTGTTTCTCCAGTACCAAAGACAGATCTGTATTCTCTCCTCCAGGGCACTCTGATTTCCCTGCTGCCTGTCATCCCCAGCTCCCTCACAGCCACTCATGGGCCAACAAAGAGTGGCAGTCAGAGGTAAAAGCACATCACAGGGGGTGCAGAGGTCCCAAACCACACCACAGGCAGCTCTGCCCTCCACACTGCTGTGTGCCTGCACAGCCTGCCTTAAGGAAGCAGAGCAGACTCACAGCTCAGGCACAACACGCCTGGGTTAAGGAAATACATGTGGGAGTTGCTCCCCAGCACCCAAGTGAGAAGGCAGTTTTAGTAACACTTCCATAACTGATCCAAGAGTTCAAGGCTTTTACACCACGGGCAGTTTCACGTTTCTGATCACTGTTAGCTGGCAAAGCCAAGGCTCACCCCCACCCCAAAGCTCCCTGTGCAGGTGACCCAGTCCATGCCAGCAGCATCATCTCCAGCACCAGACAAAGCACCTGCAGCCACCTGGGAGCTGCTCTTGCGGCACCTCCCCCGCCACCAGCTTCACCCCAACCCTGAACGCCCCGATCTTCTCGAAGATCAAGTGCAGCATGGCCTCAGCTGTCAGGGAAGAGAGACAACAGCTCTCGTTCAGCAGATGCCAAAGAGGAACCACTGCCCCAACCCAACCCAACGGGGCCCACGCTCACACCAAGCCCCTCACCTTGGCCTCCTCAGCTGTGATGCGGTGAACAGCAAAGCGGCCCTTGGTGTCGTACACCAGGCGGAAATGCTCGCCTGTCTTCTCGATGCTGATGACATCTGATTGCAGAGAGGGAAATAAAACAGCAGCTGTTATCAGCTCACAACCCAAGACTCTTAACTCACGTTTAAGAAGAGCCAGGGACTGCTAAATAAAGCTCTGGATGTGAATGATGAGTTTGGGATCTTCCCCTGACCACAGGCTCACATCTTCAGCTGTGGTAAGACTGCAAATTAGCAAAAACTGCCCAACTGTGGGGTCTGAACAGCAATTTACGCAGATCAAGCAGGCAGTTACAGGCTACAGGTATCTGCCTTTGGTATTCATTGCAGTGCACAATTCCAAACTAAATAACAACTGCTTACACGTATTTTTGTCTTCAGCTCCACCAGGGAAATACCTTTCCCTCCCAAATCATGCCAGCCCAATAAAACACTCCCCCCACCAGTGCAGAGCTGCCCCAGGTCCTTCCCCAGCTCCCGCTCACCCATGAAGCCTGCAGGGTAGGTGATGTCGGTGCGGACTTTGCCATCGATCTTGATGAACCTCTGCATGCAGATCTTCTTCACCTCGTCCCCTGTCAGGGCATACTTCAGCCGGTTGCGCAGGAAGATGATGAGGGGAAGGCACTCCCTCAGCTTGTGAGGGCCTGTTGATGGACGGGGTGCCTGCGGGCAGAAACTCTCTGCTGGGGGCTCAAGCAGCACGGACCACCCCCAGAGAAGGAACCCGAGGGCAGAGGTGCAGAGCGCTGCTGTCACACAGGCAGCAATCGGCCACAGCTCCCCGTTCTCGGCACTCGCAGCAGTTTCCCCCATGCCCTCCCAGCTTTACAGAGCCAACACAGCACAACCACCTATGGCACCTCAGCGAGGGGAAAGCGCAACAGGCAGGTTAAAAAAAGAGCAGCCAACAACCCCACCACCGCATCCTCTTCAAGCGAGGGAAACACGAACGCTGTTCGCAAAGCCCCCAGCAGCGAACACACCCCGAGCTGCCCAACCGCCCAAGCTCACCAGCGACCGAGCACTTCCCCTCATGAACCCCAACCCCGACCCCGTCCCGCACTCACGAAGACGCCCGTCAGCTTGTCCAGCATCCAGTGCTTGGGCGCAGCCACGCGCTTCAGGTGCTTCTTGGGGCCGCGGGCCTGCAGGACGGGACGCGTTACGGGCTGATGCGCTACGGGCCGCCGCCATCGCGGGGCCCTCCCAGCCGCCCCTCCCCGGCCCCCTCAGCCTCCCGCCCCCCGGGCCCCGGCGCGGGGCACCCTCCCGCGCCTCTCGCCCCGGGCTGGGGCGGCCGCGGCCCGCGGGGAGCGGCGGATGGCGGCGGATGGCGGCGGGGAGCGGCCGCGCCGCGCTCTCACCATGGCTGCGCTCCGCCGGGAAAGGCCCGCGCTTCCGGCCCGCCGCGCCTCGGCACGGCGCTGCGGCGGCGGCGGGGCGCGCCCCCTGGCGGCCCGGAGGACCAGCGCCGCCTGCGGGGTGACGGGGAGGGCGAGGGGGATCCGAGGGGGACACCGCGATCGGGACACCCCGCTTAGGGACACCCCGCTTAGGGATACCCAGCTTAGGGACACTGCGATCGGGACACCCCGCTCGGGGACACCCCGCTTGGGGATACCCAGCTTAGGGACACCGCGATCGGGACACCCCGCTTAGGGATACCCGGCTTAGGGATACCCAGCTTAGGGATACCCAGCTTAGGGACACCGCGATCGGGACACCCCGCTTAGGGACACCCAGCTTAGGGATACCCGGCTTAGGGACACTGCGATCGGGACACCCCGCTCGGGGACACCGCGCTGGGGGACATCCCGCTCGGGACACCCCACTCGGGGACACCCAGCTTAAGGATACCCAGCTTAGGGATACTGCGATCGGGGACATCCCGCTCGGGACACCCCGCTCGGGGACACCCAGCGTAGGGACATCGCGCTGGGAGACACCCTGCTCGGGAACACCCGTCTCGGGGACACCGCGATCGGGGACACCCTGCTCTAGAACACCGCGCTCGGGACACCCCGCTCGGGGACACCCAGCTTAGGGACATCACGCTGGGGGACACCCTGCTCTGGAACACCGCGCTCGGGACACCCCGCTCGGAGACATCGCGCTCGTGTCGGGGCGCACGGGGGAGAATGATCAGCTCCTTCCCGGCCCCCGCTGGTGTCCCCGTGGGACAGCTCCCCCACGTTGTGCCCCTGCGCTTTGGGACAGCGAGAGGGTGTCGGGAGCTGAGCCAGCAGCCCCTCAAGGGGTGGAACTGGGACCCCACGCAGACCCCACACCCGACTCGGGGCCGAAGCGCCCGCTACCGAAGGCATTTAGGGGGGTGAGTGGTCCCGGTTACGCCCCCCCCCCCCGGGAGGCAGACGTGTCCCCACAGCGTTCCGGAGTCCCCGGGACATCCCCTGGCTCCCGCGCCCCGCCAGGCAGCCCAGTGCAGCGGCCCCACAGCATCGCTCCCGCAGCGGGTGGGACAGAGGTCCCACTCCCGAGGGCACACCACCGAGGTGGCACCTCTGGTACTGCCACCGTAATCCGAGAGGAGGCTCAAGAGCTGAGGGGGGCTGACCCTCCTTCCGCCCCGGGGCCGCTTCCCACGGTGTCCTCCATGGAGATGGAAAAGGAAAGGGGCACAACCAGGGGTGAACAGTCCTCCCAGATTTTATTAGACAGCAGCGTGAGCCGCCTGGCCCAGAGTGATGCCCGCGCTTTGTGGGGCGCCCAGAGTGACCCCAGCACCTTCTCCTGCCCCTTCCCACCCTCGGCCGGGCTCCGAGCGCTCCCTGCTCCCGCAGCACCAGCCCATTGGGAAAGCCGGGGCGCTGCCCGCGCCCAGCAGCACCGGCCCACGGGGTCCCGGTGGGTGGGGTGAGGCGGGAGCCCCCCACCCCAGCTGGAGCCCTCCAGCCTCAGCAGCCGGCCGGCAGGTCCGCGGGGAGGTCGAACTCGTGGTGGCCGAGCCGGAGCTCCGGCAGCTCGTCCGCCCTGTCGAGGCCAAGCTCCAGCACCAGCGCCCCGAGCACCTCCTCGTCCACCGGGTCCGAGTCGATGAGGCCGGGGCGGGCGGGCTGGAGGGGGCGGCTCCCCGCGCCCCCCAGCCCCAGGCCCCAGGCGGGCGGCGAGCGGGGCTCCGTGCGGCGCCGGGCTCGCCCCAAGGTGCGGTGCGGGGTGCGGAGCTTCTGCAGGCGCCAGCTGGCCAGGAATTGGGAACCCGCCCCCGAGGCCACAGGGGCGGCGGCGGCAGGCGGAGACCCCGGCAGCCCCCCGGCCCCGCAGGGGTAGCGCAGCATCGCCGCCACCTCGAGGTCCTTCGTGCCCCGGCGAGGGGACTGTGGAGAGCTCATCTCCGGGCTCTGCGGGGGCGCTCCGGCGAGGTATCCAGATGGGCAGGGAGGCTGGAGAGGCAGCCCGGTCGCACTCGCCTGGGTGGCCCCGCTCCCCGGGGGCAGCCGCCGCCGTCTGATTTATAGCCGGCCACGCCGCGGGGGAAGGCGAGGGGAGGCTGGGCCGCCGGGAGAGCCGGGCGGGCACGGAGGGATGGACGGGACGGTGCGGGACGGCCCCCGGCGGCGGTGCTGGCACTGCCTGTCCCTCCGGCCCCCGACCGGACCCCCGCGTCCTGCCCTTCCAGGGGCGTGCCCTCCCGGTCTGGCTGGGACCCCACCTCATCTCCCCCTGTCCAGGCTGGGGCACAACAGTGGGGTTCAGGCGGTGGCAGGGCTGCCAGGGCAATGTGGGCTGGTGCCCTCAGCCTGGCACAGGGAAAGAGCATGTGGGGCTCCGAGGTGGGTCAGAGGAGGCAGCTGCCCAGCTTCTCTGCTCTCTCATTCTTCACTTTTCCCCTGGCTGAACAGTCCCCAGGACACTGGAACCCTCCTGCCAGCAGTCACCACACAAGACTGGTCTCTCCCTACCACACCACACCACCCCACCCCACAGCAGGTGCCAGGGGTATATGGAAGCAGGGAAAGGGGTCAGGAGTCATGGGAGCCACATCCTGCCGAACTCCCTCCACGCCAGACTTCCTGTTGTTTCAATCGACAGTGAAAAACAAGAGAGCAAAACAAAGCCAAGGCCAGGCTGGGAGCCCCTTCATCTTGCTATTTATTCCAGCATAATCTAATTAAAGCCACAGGAAATATGCTTTCCCACAGTGACTGGACATCTTAAAAAAATCCCAGCACAACAAAAGCTCCATGGGCCAAGTGAATGAGGGGACAAGGGCAGGAGAGGCCAGGCTCCATGGCCTGAGGCACCAGTAGAGATCTGCCCTGGATACCTGTGTACCTGTTTACCTGTTCCCTTGCTTAGATGCCTTGTGGCCACTCACATGGGGCACTGGGACATCTGGAGGTTCATCCAAGATCTCCTGGGACAGGAGCTGCCACACTGAATCTCCCTCAACCCTCCGGAGAGGATCCCCAGGGTCTAGTCCCCTCTGTCCAGGATTTCAGGGCCCCACCCATGGCCTTGCAGGGTAGGGAGGATGCTGTGGAAAAGAGCACTGCCAAGGCAGGGTGGGTGCAGGAAGAAAGGAAAGGGCTGGAGGAATATGTCAAACATTTTATTAAAAAAAAAAATCCCAGTTAAAAACACAATGGCTGTGCCTTTCTGTGGGTAAGAGACACAGCTTGTGCCCCAGGCTGGCCCTCGGCTCTGCTTCCCGGGCGGGCAGCTCCGAGGCTGTGCCCCTGCCAGGAAGGTAACGTGGCTCTGGGCTCCAGCTGGGGAGGGCTCGAAGCTCTGAGCAGCCTCTCTCTTAAAAAACATTTAAAACCCGTTGTGAGAACAAACTCTGTGGTGTTAAAAAAGGAAAGGGGAAGGAGCAAGGGAGGCTCTGCCGGCACTGGAAGGCTGTGGCTGGAGGGCCCACACTCCTGCCTGGGGAGAGCCACAGTGCTCGTGATGTGCAGCAGCTTTTCTTCTTAAAGAGAGAACAAATTACCAACCAACAGTAATTTCTTCCAAATTTTCCCTGCAGCCACAAATTTCAGTTGCTCACGTAAATACGCTGTCTTCCCCATGGGAAATGCTCTTGCAGAAACCTGAGCCTTCCTCCTCTGCTAAACAACATGCTTCAGATTCCCTGCAAATAAAAGGAAGCAGGAGAGGTTTCACCTTATTTTAAGAATTTTTTTACAGTGAGAACAACCACTGGAGCAAACTCCACAGGGACATGATAGACGCCTCAGTGTCAGAAGGTTTCAAGATGTGACTGGACAGGGTGCTAGATAATCTTGTCCAGGCTCCCTTTCCCACAGAAAGGTTGGACCAGGTGATCTTTGAAATCCTTTAGAACCTGGGCTGTTCCGTGATTCCAGTAAGGACAAGGCCCTGTGCTCCTCTGCCCATCCAGACACGGCTACAGGGACCCACAGCTCTGCATCATCAACCCTGAGAATCCCAAGGGAAGTAGGAGGCAGATGACTCTGCACTAATGAGCAGCCAAGTGAACGTGGCTCATCTTTCTAGTCAGTGAGAAAGACTCCAGTGAGCTGTTCTGAAGCCCTCTCTAAAAGGACCTGGAAGCCCAAAGCAGGATTGTTGGCTTGGACAACTCACCTTTGATGGAGTTCAGAATTTCTTGAATTCTCTGCGGCTCGTTGCGGTCTGGTCTGCAGCTTGGGGTGATCTCCAGCACGTAATCAGGACCATACTCTGTGAAGAACTGGAGGGAAGAGGAGGGGAGAGTCAGCAGAGAGGCCTCTGGTGGCTGAGGCTGGAGGCAGGGTTCCCCATGGGAAAAACACTTTCTCCACCTGAGGGCCACATGTGGCTTCACTACATCAAGGTGGTGCTTCTGCAGTGTCTGTGCCCACCTGGAGTTTTCAACCATTTCCCAGTTCGAGGGCTTGGGAAGCAGAGGCCAGTGGTGCAGCCAAAAGCAGTCAAATGTCTATCCCAGTGTTTAATTTGGGAAAGCTGTTGACACTCATTTTATACACGGTGAACCTGATTTTTTAGTCAACAAAATTCAAGTGCTACCTATTCTACTGAATAATGCCAGACCTGAGAACAAGTTCTATGCCAACGGGAAAAAATTAGGCATCTTACAGAAGTCCACACTCTGTTCCTGATTCTAGGACAAACAATTCACTGGTGGAACCTGCTGTGATGGGACCATGACTCATTGCACCATCAGCACTGGATGTTCAAGGAATTCCACATTGGTCTTTCCAGACATCCTCAGACTATTTAAACACCATTACACTGATGCTCAGTCAATTGTTTCTGGGTCTCCAAACCACAGCTGTCTTGTTTTCAAGCCCTTCTCTACAAACTCATGGCCAGGTTTCTGAATATTGACTTTCTTTCACAGTAACTTGATTTCAAAACCTGGAGCTGTCAAGAACCTCGAGGCTTTAGGAGAAGCAAAGTGCTGAATACAGCTGTGTGGAGTTTGGCCCATCATCACTGAAAAAGTTTGACAAACCTGGAGACTGACAGAACAGCACAGCCTACCCACTTCACAGCCAGTGCTTCAGCAACAATTTGTCCCAGGCCACAAACTCTAAGGAGTTTCCTTCAGGAGGTGAGCAGAGCCCTGTGGCTGGACAGTAGGAAAGCAGAGCTGGGACTGCCTTTAAGCTGCTCACAGTCAGGAATCTGCACTGATCTCAAAAAGCTGACAGCTCAGTTTCCATGTTTCGTGTTAATCAGAATGGGAATTCCTATTTAAAGCAAAGAAAACATGAAACCAGGAAGTACCAACCTTTGTTTCTGTGCACAGGCACTGATAAGCTATTAAACCACTAGTGGTTCTTTGCCAAAAGCAGCAGGAAAAAACCCTGGGAATCTGACAAAAAGATATCAACCCTGTGTGCACACAAGTCCATCCACATACAGTGAAAGCTCATGCTGCCTCAAGGGTGAGAGGGTGCTGGATCTCAAACTCCTGCTCTTGGTGTGCCAACCCCTGGGCTGTTCCTCCCCAGAACACAGAGCAATGTGCTGAACAGCTGAACCACAGCCCCAAGGTGGGAGGGCTTCCCAGGTACCTGGCAGGGTACTCTTCCATGAAACTCTTCCATGAGTTTCATCAACCAACTGGGATTCCCAAGTCAGGGGAAACAGATTCACCAGACAGAAATTAATACACACTGTCCAGCCCCACTCAGGACATGAAAAGCACCAGCACTGGCTCTGAGACAGCACCTGGCCCCACAGCCAAAGCTTCAAAGCTGCACCTGGTCCTTTCTGTAGGTTGATGAAAGCAGGGCTAAAATTTAAAGCCTTGAGGAAGGCAAAAGCACGTGCACATCCTAAAGAGCTCTTTGAGCAACCGGTGTCTCTCTCTGCCCATCCTCTCTGTCACCACCAGAGACTGAAGTTTATCAGTGCCTGAGATCCCTCACAGAGAGCTGCAGCCTCTGCTTTTGGGCAACAAGCCCCCATCACACTGCTGGGATAGGGTGGTTTTGCTACAGGAGTGCCTCCACAAAACAGCACTAAGTGGCAAGGACGCTGTGTGGATTATTAGGTGGAACGACTGGCTCTTCTGCAAAGAGAAGGGAGGGTTTTTCACAGCGTTACCTCATGATCGGGGATCTCCGAGGACAGCGTTCTCCCAAGGATCACCCCAGTCAAGTATGTCCAGCAGCGAGCTGTGTTGGCAAGGTTGTAACCTCCTGTCTCCAGCAAGAATTGGGATTTTGAGGGGGAAGAGTTTGGGGAAAGGGAAGAGAGAGGGAGAGGTTTTAGCGGAGGCAACGTGAACAGTTCACATGAACTCAGCTTATTTCATCCACTCAAGCTGTGCCCAAAATCTGCATTTTGCACCTGCTGGCTACACAAGGCCAGGTCCAAATGACCCTGTGTGCAAGAGCAGACCTCCCAAACTGAACCCCACTTACACCCAGTGGGGCAGAGGTCGGTCCTCCAGCCACCACCTCAGACCCAGCATGAGCTCCCAGCCCCATGTGCTGGACTCTCTCCTGGCAACAAGGAGAGGTGTTCTCATGTAGCAGGGAGGGAAGTGCAAGGGCTGCAGCAGAAACAGGGGCTTCCTGTTTTAATGCCAGGTTTTTAATGCCAGCCTTAGACCCATAAAGCAAAACACACATGCCCGGCCATCTGCTGGTGAGCTCTTCGGCACTGTCATGTTTGAGAGGACAAATGTGAAACTCATCAGCACAACCCGCAACTGCTTTACAGGTAAATGAGGTTTCACAGTCAGTAGGAAATGGTCACCTCCATGGTAATGGAACATGAGCCCACAAGGAGAAACCTTAGCTGAGAGCAGTCCTGCAAGAAACTCAGGTAAGTTGGTTTTTTTTTTCAGGAAAGATGACTAAAATAGTAAAGAGAGAAAAACACTTCGACAAGACAGGGAGACCGTATTTTTCAACATTCCCTTCTGTTTGTGTTGGTTGTTGTGGGGGATTTTCCTTCTTTTTTTCACTCCTTCCCCACTTTCCTCTTCAAATGCTTCCACAGTCTGCAGTGGTGGGACACTGCTTTGGCATTTTCAAGAGTGACAAATAGTTGTCCCTCATTTTTTGACAAAAGTTTTGGAGTTTTTTGTCTGAAAGGTGACATCCCCAGCATACCCACAGACAGGTCACAGCAGGATTGAACACTCATAACCTTTCCAAAACAAAGAGCACCAGGGACATCATTAGAACTGATTTCCCCCATCTCAGAAAGGACAGCTAGAGCTGATCCAGCTCCAGGCATGGAGCTCTCTCTGGCACACAGTGGCTTTTTTTTGTTCTAAAATGCTCTGTTACATAAATTCTGTGCTGTGCTCTCCCCACTGGACAGGCAGCTGGTTGTGCAGCACAGCAAGTCCACCTTAGCTTTCACTGGGTATCAGAGCCCTGCTGTACTTTGCAGGCAGCCAGTCCTTGTCCTAAGCCCCTGCCTGAATCTAAATGAAACCATCCACTGCCAGGTGCCCAAGGTAGGTTTGGGAACACAGTGCTCACTTTTAAAGAGAAGCACTGGAGGGCTGATGAGCAGAGACGGGAATCAGAGGTGCCACTGAGAAGTCATGATCAGTTTGTCGGCCTTTCCTCTTCTCCAGAGGAGCCATGCAGCTTTTAACAAGATGTGAGAGTCGGGATTGAGACTTGCACCTGTCAGTATCAAGGATTTCAGGTGTGAGGACACAGTACTGTGCCATGGCGTGCCCTCCTGCCACTGCCCAGCAGTCACCCTGCTAAACTCGAGGCACTTGAGGAAGGGTCGCAGGAGGACAAACACATTCTCTGAGACCAGCAGGACACACTCACCTCCTCCCAGGACGAGAGTTGCCAGCTGCCACTGCAGGACATACTTGAGGCACTTGCCCACTCCCTCAGGGGTCATGTTGAAGGAGCACATGGGGTCCCCAGCGATGGTGTCAGCCCCCAGCTGCAGCACCACCGCGTCGGGGTTGAAGGCGGCGTACACCTCCTTCAG